ACCCCGAAGGCCTCTAGGGCTTAGGGTTTCGAAACTGGGCCCCGAACTAGGAAACGGCCCCAAGCGTCTGAAGATCGCCACAAGTCGGCTTCATTCGGATTTGCCTGTGAATCCAAAAACCCATCGTTTTAAGGGTTCTACCCTCTATTCAAGGGTCATAACCTACTATTTTGTAGGGTTTGGAGTTACAGGTAGGGTTTAGGGTTTGGGGTTAGACTGTCGGGTTTAGGTGGCCGGCTTGATTAGGATTGAGTGCTCAGGGTTTTGGGCGAAGCTTTCGGGTTCGAAGTTTTAGAGCATCTTACCGCCTTCAACCCTAAGTTCCAGACCTCAATCCCTACCCTTAAACTTAAAGCCCGGAACCCGAAAGCCTAAACCCCGTTGCTTCTCCATACTCGCCGAGGGGGGTCCCCCGGTCACCGGAGCAGTGAATTCACTGTCCTCGAAGCCCTCCCAACCGAAACTCAGGGTGAAGAGATTCAGGGTTACAGATTTCGGGTTTATTGGCCGTAGGTTTTAGAGGGTTAAGGGTTTAGGGTTTATAGCGTTTAGGCTCTGTAGGGTTTAGGCTTTAGGGTTTAGGGATTTATAGCGTTTAGGCTCTGTAGGGTTTAGGCTTTAGGGTTNNTTAGGGTTTAGGGTTCGGGCTGCAGATTTAGCTTGGCTTTGACTCAAGTTACAGACGGCTGCGACTCTTCCAGGGTCCCATTGCTTTCACTTGGCAGATGGATGTGGATGCAGCCTTCAATTTAAAGGGAAGTCCACTGTTTGTAGGACAAGGACTTGTGTTTTGCTGGTTGCAGCCGTGGGTGTAGGATTGCCCGCGCGAGGCCGAATCTTACGCCAGAACCCCACATACCGCAACCCAGCGCTCCAGCGTCCCTAGGCTAGACTTAGCCCGAACAGCCTAAACTTTGTTGGGGTTCCGTACCATGATTGATTTCGAAATGCACTTGATCTGGCAGGTTTCTCTGGCCACCATTATGCCTAACCCTAAACCCTAAACCC